AAAAAAAAAAAAGTATTATATCTGTCCGTATATACCACCTAAATTTTGAAAACATTCAGTCTCTGTTGATCTGATCATGAGAACAGGATTGCTCCCAAGAGATGGGTGTCTCACCACTCAGAAACCAGGCAGTTGTAATGTAACTGTAAATAATTCATAGAATTAAAAAAAGAAAAGTTGTCATCATGTTTGTTTATGTTATATAGAGGGACAGCTCGAGTTAGGCTGGAGAGATACATATAATTGTTAAATAGGCCATGACTTAGGAAGAGTTCGCTCTCTTGAAATAAATATAATTAATTGTTCATCTTCGCATCTTGATCTTTAAAGAAACAAATGGAACTATTAGACAATTTCAGCTATTAGATGATGTTGGCAAGAGTGAGTCAACAACAGAAGAATTCACCATCAGGACAGCAGCGGTCAACCAAGGGACACAACAGGAGGACAAGGTAAATGAAACTTGGCATTCATCACCATGGCGACGGCCGACAAGGTCGTTGCGTTATCATCCTCATTGCTGTCTCATTGGTTAATCATATCTCATCTGAATCATCTTCACTATCGCAAATCAAAAATGGAAAATTTGCATACCTACTACTGACAAAAGAAAATCAACTTGAAAACTTTCAAAAACAAAAGATTCAATTCTCACCTGAAGAGAGAAAGAAATTTGATGAAAGAAGAAAAACCAGCTATGAAAAAAGAAGCAGTGAAATAAAAGCAACCATCCAATTTGAAGCTCTACCCGATGCATCAGCCGAAGAACACCTAATCGGCATCGGAAAGATAATCGGTTTTGAGAACATCCACTCGGTGGGTAAGATCAACGGACAGTCTCTGTTGCTGATCGAAAACAGGCAGAATTGCTTCTAGCCGAGGAATTCAAAGTTTAAAATAAAACTGTTTACCCATCCCTCTTTTCTCAGTAAAAAAAATATATCTTATCAGGCGTTCTGGCCTTCATCCCAGACAAAGAAATAACGAAAGCCCTGGCACTATATGGGCAGGTGCTGAGCATCCGCCCGCTCCCTTTTCCTACGGAAAACCCTCTTTTGAAACTTAAGAAGAGAAATTGTCTTCAAAAATAAGGAGAAGACGCCAATGTCTGCGGTCATCACAATCACCTATATGGAAACGCCGTTCAAGATCTTCATCTGTGAGGACGTGGTGTGCGCCGGATGTAAGAGGCATGGGCACACTAAGAACAGATGCCCATTCGACCCCGAAATAAGGGCAAAGATCATGAGGACCTTCGCTGAAGCCCCACACCACAGGACAAGATTCCAACTCAGGAAGAACAGCCAGCCCGGGGAACAAGAGACCCCCCTGCAAAAAAAAAAGACCCCTAACGGCCTCTCCAGAAGGTGAGAGTAACGATCTTGATAAAAATGAACAGGAGAAACGAACAAAAACAAATGAAGGGATGCTTCCACCGCCTCGTGACGTCGTTAATGAACAAGTTCAAATAATTGAACACCATACTTAAAAACTGGAGAAAAACAAATATATTAATTACAGGCTTTTAACCAAGTTGAAAAATTATGATGCACATGTTCCCAATATATATGGTGCTCCAAAGGTCCACAAGCCTAACTGTCCATTACTCCCAATAGTAAACAATAGACCTTCACCAACATATGCCTTGGCAAAATGGTTAGGACAACAATTAAAAATCTACCAATATTTTAATGAAAATGAAATTGTTAACTCCTATGAATTCAAAAAAGACATTATTGACATGAACATAAATGGAAATCAAAGAATCATATCATTAGATGTTGAATCAATGTTTACTTCAATCTCTATACCCACAAATATGGATACATTAAACTTTGTGATAAAAGAGACAAAAATAAATAACTTGCCTAAATCTGAATTTTTAATTGCAGTAGAATTTTGTTTAAAAACAGCATATTTTATAGGCGAGCGGAAGAATGTCGCTGGAGGCGACGAATTTGGTATGGGCTGGAAGCCCTCATCGAGCTGAACATGAGCCCGAAAGGCTCGACTCTGACAGTGAAGCCGTTGCGGAGATATCCGCGGAAAAGCAATTTCAAGATGAAAAATCAAGAATAGCTAATGCAAGCGGCAACTATGCAAATCTGCCTTTTGACGGACAGCATGCAAATTTTGCCGCGGCGTGCATCGCTGACGTCACGCCATCAACAAGCAGCGCTGTCGCCGCTGTGACGAACTGGGCCGAGCAAATGGAGGCTTCAGAATCAGGTGAAGATGACTTCACTGTGGTCAAACACAAGCGAAGACGCAGGGAGTTGCCGAGCCGCCCTGTCGAACAACGCTCCAGCGGTGTCACGGCCTCCAGAAGGACCGGCGCGACCCGCGAAGACGGCCACCTGCGGGTGGAGCTACGGTGGTCCAGGAAATCAGGGCTACCCGGGCCAAAATCGCCGATACCAGAGCACGACAGTGGTCTTCAACAGAAGATAACTGCGTCTTCGTGGAGCACTGCCCGGACTTCAGGTCCACCCATTACCTGCAGGCGGTGGAAGAGCTGGTCGGAGGAGCCGGGAATGTGCTCCAGGTGATGAAAATGGACGGTCATATGCTGGTGGGCCTGTCCACCAAGGCCCTGGCGGAGCGACTTATTAAGGACGGCCTTGAAATCGGGCACACCCACCTCAGGGCCTTCCCCTTCAAGAAAAGGGCGGAGAGGATCACCGTCACAAACTTGCCCTTTTTCGTGGACGCCGCCGCCGTCATCGAGGCCCTCAAGCCCTATGGTGACGTAACTTCCATTGTCCCCATCCGGCTGAGAGCCGGAAAGTATACCTTCACGGATGGCCGACGCGAGGCATTTATCCTCCTTAAGGAGGGTATTGCTTTGGAGAACATCCCAACCCGCGTCGTCATCCGAAACAAAGGTAACGTCCTGTCGGCGTTTATTTCATATGGAGTCAAGTGCTCCAGATGCGGCCGGCAAGGTCACCGTAGGGCCAACTACCCCATCATTCCTGGGAGAGCCTCCAACAACGGCCAGCCACAACCGGCACCCCATCCACCTGGTGCATCGTCCACCGTGTCTTGGCAGCCGAACCATCCAACACCAGCGGCTCCAGCTCCGTCACAAAAGCGCCTTGAGCCTCAGACATCAGCTCCCAGCACTTCTGCCCACCTGCCTGCCAGAACATCCTAAGACACCGTGGCTCCTCCTCTAGAGCCCATGGAGATTGCAGCCGAAGTGCTGGCGCCGCCGACCTCCAACAGCGCCCTACAGGCAATGGAGCCAATAGAGGCACCAAAGGCTCCTGTGGACCCTCGCCCTCCAGCCTCTCAGCCCGCCGGAGAAGTGCCTCAAGCTCTGCCAGCCTCTGTCGCCCCTCCTGGTCCTCTACCTGCACAGGGGACCCTTGTGCCGCCCTCCCGGTCATCATCAGGGCGTAAGACGAGAGACGACCTTGAGGCCTTCCTCAAGAGAAACCCCGGTGTATCATTTGCCGGGACGGACGGCCTTGGTCTTGAGCGGGAGGAGGTCCTGGACCTCCTCTCCTCAGGAAGACCAAGGCGCATAAGCGCGGCCAACATCTAACCCCTCCGCAGAGCAATGCTCTCGTTGCCCTCATCGGCCAAATTCTAGACCTGAAGCCGGGAGGAAATTCCAACATTTACAAGGTCCTAGGACAGGGCCATCGATAGGATGTTTGGAGGCACAAGGGAGGTCATCCAGATAACCAGGATGAACGGCCACTTCCTGGTGGGACTGGCCAACAGAGGCCTGGCCGAGCGCCTCGTCAACGAGGGCCTCGAGGTGGAGGGAACACTCCACAGGGCCTTCCCGTTCCGCAAGAGGGCGGAGCGAATAACAGTGGGCAACCTCCCCTTCTTCATGGGGGATGCAGCCATCATCAGCGCCCTTACAACTTTTGGGCGGGTTACATCTATCGCAAGCTGATGAAGGCTGGCCCATATATCTATAACCTCGGCCGCCGAGAGGCGTTTATCATCCTCCGCGAAGGAATCACCATCGAGAGGCTGCCCACCCGCCTCGACATTTCAATCAAGGGCGAGGCCTGGCCAGCATACCTGTCCTCTGGGGTCAGGTGTTCCAGGTGCAGTGGCCAAGGACATCGCAGGGCCAACTGCCCCCTGCTTGCAGGGCGATCCAACGATCCTGGACCGGCCACCCCAACCTCTCCACCGTCAGTCATTATGGGACATTTTTATGTAAAAGTTGTGTGGAATATTTTACGTCTTTTTTTCAAATAAAAATATAATTAAAAATAACCTTGTTTATTTTTACCAAAAATTTATATTCTCAAGCGTATACCCTATGCTAATTTTACGACTACCACTGGGATGTAACAAATAAACAAAGAGGCAAAGGTAGACCAGACGGCGACAACGACCAACGGCGCTAGAAGGTGGCGTGATTACAGGAGCCAATCAGGACTCACCGACATATGCGGGGGTCCAGTATAAAAGGGCCCAGAAAATGAGACAAAGGAGTTGTTTTTCAGAGTGACGCCGTTATACGGTCGGTCGGATCTCTCACCCCTTCTATCCGCGAGTAGGCTTAGGGCATCTGCGTCGCCCATGGTCCGACTGCCTTCGTCCGTGGTCTATCTCTACCTCTTAGAGCTACCATCTAGACCTGCCTCTGTCCCTTGCTGTCCCCGTGCGGGAATCCCATCACGCACCCACGACCACGACTGCCCAGTACATTCCACGTCGGCTTAGTCGGGGTTACTACAGAACCCTTTTAAGTTGACAGGATAACTGAGGACAGCAGCATGCAGAGGATGACGGAGGTCAGAGACGAATACTTCGCGGATGCCCTCACCAACATGCAACCCCACTGCGAAGACCTAGTAAGCCGCCTAACAGACGCCATTCAGGGAATAGCCGTGCCTCGTGCGGAGGAAGCCCTCATCTCTCCTTTCGACGGATCCTACGCAGCAAGCAACTCCAGCAACTCGAGCGGACGAGCGAGGGACCACAAGATGACGCCACCCTGCAAGCCCGGCTCCGCACGCTACTCAAAGGTGAGCCCCTCTCCCTCTCAACGAACTGAATCTGGCCTCTCTGCCATACAGTCAGGCAAAACAAACTCTCATGGACCTCTATCCCGGAAAATCCGAGGTCACTTTCACCAAATTTTTAACTTTTAAATTGACTAGTCAGATCCAATTAGGAGACTATTACCGCCAAAAAATAACTATGGGATTACAACTGGGCCTAACCAATCCTATCATAGTGGAAGCATTAACGGAAGGCCTCCAAGCCAGTGATCAGCGCGCTCATGAGGGCCATAGCCCCTAAAACCCTGACCGAATGGTACTCTACCATGACTAGAATAAAAGGGACCAATTTACTCCCTACTCATGGCGCCAACGACTGCTGCCTCTTCCAGCGAGAATCCAGCCAACTAGCCTCGCTCAACTGGGCCGACAGCGAGATGGCGGAGGTGGACGCCAACGAAGGCTTCATCGTCATCAGGAGAAACAGGCGACTCGCCTCAACGTCATCTGAGCACGCTGCAAGGCAGCCCAACAAGCCTGGAGAGCAGCGCAGCTCCCAGCAGCGGAAACAGCCAACAGGACCAAGAACAGTGCCGCCTCAGGAGATCAAGGTGACGCGCGCCAACATCGCCGAGGCCAAGGCGAGGCAGACCTCTTCTAGCCACGAAAACTACATCTTCGTGGAACTGTGCCCTGACATCCCGGACTACTCCTACCTCAAGGCAATGAGCAAGCTGGTCGGTGGGCCTGGAGGCATAACACAATTTAACAGGATGGACAGCCACTACATCGTGGGCATGGCGACCAAGGATCTTGCGCGCCTTCTAGTTGAAGGCGGCCTAGAGATCGATGGAACGACCCTTAGGGTCTTCCCCTACTGCAAGAGGGCCGAGCGAATCATCGTCGCCAACCTGCCCGGCTTTGTGGAGGACAGCCCGTCAGGAACGCTCTGTACCCATACGGGAAGGTCACCTCCATCGCCCCCATCCTGGTCAAAATGGGGGAGTTCACCTTCACCGACTGCCGCCGGGAGGCCTTCATCCTGCTCAACGACGGCATCAAACTGGACAGGCTACCCACTCGCCTGGACATCAAGTCCAAAGGAGACTCCGTGCCTGCCTTCCTCTCCTTTGGCATCAAGTGCTCAAAATGCGGAAACAAGGCCACCGCAGAGCCAACTGCCCAGCACTCACCAGGCAGAACAGCAGCCCCAGGCAAGCAAGGTCTCCCACCGACACATGCCCCCTCCTCCTCCCCCTCAGAAGCCAAAGAAACCCGCACCTGCGCCTGCTACATCGGCGTCCCCTGTTCCACCGGCGGAGACATCAACCGGGGCTCCTGCAATCCCCTCGGCGCCCTAGCCGAACCAAAGGATCTCGCCCAGCCCGCCCCTGCTGCCCACCCTGCTCCTCTCGCTGCCCCCCGGGGCTGGGACCCTACCGCTCGACTGCGAGATAACGGGCGAGGAGGAAATTTCAACCTCTTCCACGTCTTCCCAGAAGCGCCGCGCATACAATCAGCTGCAGAAATACATCAAGAGACCCCCAACCTCTCCACCGACCGCTCCCTCGGCCACCGTTACTGGTGCTGCCGTACCATCTGGCCTCTCATCAGAGAGGCCTTCAACATCATAGGGCGGCCTCCTGCAGGCTTGGATCTTCGGCGGGTCCGGCCTTGAGGACAACGCCCTTTCCATCCTGGCGTCGGCAAAGTTGCGAGTTTATTGCTACTTTGTCCAGGTTGGGCTCGGAGGAGCAGTGGAGGACCCGCTCATCGCCTGGTCCAGGACCCTCCAGTGCAGAGATCTCCTTCTTCCTATGTAAATTTGTAAAATATGTTTCATATTGTATATTTCCTCTACTCCTTTATGTAATATATTCTCTCTCTCTCTTTGTTTAAAAATGTAATATTGTCTAGAAGACAATAAATAATTTTTAATTGTCATACATACATACATACACGGCCGTGCGGCCACGCTTTGGTCGAGCTCCGCCTTTTTTCCACCCTGGCGGGTGTATGAACGTTGGTGCCACGTCAAGTTTGGTATGGGCAGATAGCCCATTTGATGCCGATCAATTGCCTGTAAGGCACGGCTTAATATCTCAAACCGATGCGGAAATATCTGCGAAAAACCAATTGCAGATTGACAATTCAATCGAAATGCAAGAATCGGCCAGTAATGCAAATCTGCCTACTAGCGAACGATATGCAAAATCTGCCGTGTCGCACGAATTTGCCGCTACAATGCCTTCGTCTGGCGCACTTCCAAGCCGACAGAACTGGGCGGAAATATCTGAGGATCAAGGTCCTGTTTCTGGAGACGACTTTACCGTCGTTCAAAACAAAAGAAAACGCCGCAACACGGGAGCGCCGGGCGTTACGGCCGCACAGTCCAACGGCGCTGGATCGGCTACTGGGCGACGGAGATCCTCGCCTACATGGGTGCGGCAGGTCCAGGAGATCAGGACCACGAGGGCGCACATCGTGGAAGCCAGAGCTCGCCAGGCGTCCTGCAACGAGGAGCAGTGCCTCTACCTGGAGTACTGCCCGGACTATCAGACATATCAATACCTAAAAGCCATTGAAAGAGTCGTCGGAGGATCCAAGAACGTTGTCCAATTTGCCAAGGTAAATGGGCACTACTTGCTGGGACTCACCAGCAGATCCCTGGCGGAACGGCTGATCCGGGAGGGCCTTGAGGCCGGGAACCCTCATTAGAACCTTCCCCTTTAGGAAGAGCTCCATCAAAATCACAATAGGGAACCTACCCTTCTTTGTGGAGGACGCCGCCGTGATCAATGCCCTCTCCCGATTTGGACGAATCACCTCGATCGCCCCCAAACTGCTAAGGGCTGGCGAATTTGACTTCACTGACGGCCGTCGGGAGGCTTTTATTCTCCTCCACGACGGCGTTACCGTTGACAAGCTTCCCACCCGCTTTGAAATTAAAATTAAAGGTGAGGCCTGGCCGGCCTACCTTACATATGGCATCAAATGCTCTAGATGCCACGGACAGGGACACAGAAGAGCCAACTGCCCCCTTCTCACGGGCAGTCCACCACCTCCAGACGGGCTCCACCGCCCTCTCCCAACAAACTCCAACCACTGACCGCGCCTGGACTGCCTAAACGGTTCTCGGCCGCGCCTGCGCCAGCACCTCCCAGTCCAGCTGTCGAGGATTCTGGCGCTTCTCCTGCCGCCCGAGCTGTGACTCCATCTACAGCACCTCGGCCATCTCCACCAGCGGCCCCGACCTTACCTATGGAGGAGGCGTCTCCTGCCCCTCCACCTGTGACCCCTGCTCCGTCCCTGCGGGCACCTGTGAGTCACGTGCCTGCAGCCCCAACACCGGACGTTGAGATGTCCATCATCGAGGAGATTTCTACATCCTCCACATCCTCGTCAAAACATCAACGAGAGAAGGCCTCGTGACTTTCATCGAGAGGAATCCGGGCGTCTCCTTTGCCCAGACTTGGCCTCGGGCGGGAGGAGGTCTTGGACATCCTCTCCTCAAAGACCAAGGCTCGGAAGCGGGGACCCCTCCTGTCACCCTCGCAGGGCGGCGCTCTCGCCGGCCTAATCCGTCAACTCTTGGGCCAGAGGCCCGGAGGGGATAGTAACATCTATAAAGTCCTGCGTCAGGTCTTGTCAGAGCTGAGGACCGCCCCTACTGCAGTGCCTTCAACACCCCCACTGCCTGCGCCTCGGCCTTCTGGGCCAACGGCGCCTACTTCCCACAGCGAAGAACTGATGCCTGCTGTGATGACACCTCCGCCGCCCGCCCCGACGGAGATGGAGGAGGACAATCCGATGACGGAAAAAGAGCGTTTGTGCACCCCCACCGCCTGCGCCTCGGCTCGCTGAGCCGACACCACCCACTCCCCATGGGGAAGAGCTAACACCGGCCATGGCGACACCTCCGCCTCCACTGCCATTCCTGACCCAGGTGGAGCTGAGACTAAGTGCGTAGACCGGATATTTGACCTGTTCAAAGAGCAGAACTATCAACAGGCCTTGGGGCCCCTACTCAAGAAGGGCTAGATATTGACAACCTCTCACATTCGATCGTGGTGGCTCAAGAGTAGGGAGTACCTCCTCAAGTCTCTCAGATCTAGACCCAGACACAAAGCCACTCTCGCCGAGTTTCTCGGCACTGTCGCCGAACATGCTCACGATGACCACCTCTTAATTCAAAGGGGAATATACGAGCTCAGGCTGGCTCTGCGCTCCTAACAGAATCAAGATTATTGTAAATTTTTGTACTTTCTCCCATTGACTTTGGGTGTAATCATTGACTAAAAGTCAATAAAATTATTTAATTGTCAATTGTCATACATACATACATACATACATACATACATATACATACATACATACATACATACATACATACATACATACATACATACATACAAAACATACTTTGTTTACAAAATAAATATTTTATAAAGATTTAAAATATATATTTATATATATTTGAAAAATGGGAAGAAAAGGCAAATTCAAATTATCCGCAACAAGAAATCTCGCAATGGCATTCACGACCGCCGTTGGAGCATGGCTCTCCAACTGGCCCTGCCGTTGGACTCGGGCGAAACTTCCCACTCCATCATCCTGGAAATGATTAATTCATCAGACCAGATAAGGGAGACAGTGGCTGAAACCTTGAAGGATCTGACGCCCAAAGAATTGGGTACCCTGATGGAACAGTCATTCAACTGGTTGGCCAACTTCCCCCTCCAACGCCACCCAGCCATCTTCATTTTATGCCACCTGTCCCAGACCAAGAGCTACCAGGAACTACTACAAATATATCCTGAGTTCGAGGACAAAAGGCCTTTCCTTCTTGGCTCAGCTTGAGGATTTCCAGAGCGAATCAACCAGGATCTTGGAGCCTCCGAGACATTTTGGAGATGACTGTCATGACAGACAAACTACTTAAACCTTAATATTACTAAAATTGGTTATTAAAAATTATTCTTTAGTTAATACATACATACATACATACATAGTGGACTACCTAGTGGACTAGGCAGTACCCGACCCTACCATTATCAATTGCTAATAAAACATTTCTCAGAAATGTTGCGTTATCAGAAGACTAAAGTCTTCGAATCCAAAGGCTCTTCTCAGAGCCATCGTGATGAGGACGACGACGAACAGTCCTCACGCCCACCCCCCAGAGACCAATGGTCACGTGGTGACCAAGGAGGTCGGGGAGGCCGCGGAGGCGGCCGACGAAACCAGCAGCGTGGAGCTCCTGCTGGAGGTGGAAAACCAAGCTCCAACCAGTCGCTGCGGTGGTGGCGGACCACATGACAACACCAACAACAAGAAGCCGCCACAACAACAATAGGGGCCCCCAGCCCCGCAACACATCTCCAAGACCAGCTCCATGGTCACCAATGAGTGCCTGTGGAAGGAAGCATTCTTCCCACACCCTGGCTATGACCTGCGCCCCTCGCCCCAACCCAACATCTTCCATCCCGGGGGCCGACGGGTTCAGCCACCTCATTCATGAGGTGTACAATGCCATTGTGGCCAAGACTCCCACTTTTGGAAGAGCCGTCCCTGAGTCGGCTTTCGCTTACTATTGTGAGGTGGTGCTTTAACGCCCGCCTCCTTTTCATCCACGGGAAGAACCAGTTCCTGGAGTCCCTGGAGGAGAGGGATTTTGTCCAAAGGGTGGTCGAAGCCGACTACCCACTACCAGAGCCCGTCCATGACTACGTCATGGGTTTCGGGAATGTGACCCTACCCAGCGGAGGCCTTGTGCAGCTGCGGCTGCCCACCCGGACCTTCGAAACTAACACCGTCGTAGGCTGGTTTGGCTGTGTGACCCAGGGACCACCCACTACATCTACAAGTCCATCCCTTGCCTGGCCCGTCTTCGCCTTCAGAGTACTGAAGGACTATGACGGCAGTGACAACCCCAACACTGTAAATTCCTTCACTGTGTTGTCCTGTTTATTTCATTCTATCTCATTGTACTTTTGTGTAAATAGAGTTATGATGTTGTAATCATGAGAAATGATGATCATTGGAGCCGATTGTTAGAGATGATCATCTTTCATTAAATATAGGATACTATGTTATTTGTAAATTTAATTGTTAAAATAATTTGTATTTTTAAATTTAACACTTCGAGGACACAGGACGTCAATTAACGTCCTCGCGAAAATGGCACAGTGCCCGCAGGACGTATATTAACGCCTACTTTCTTAAAAATCGGTATAAAATCATAGCGGGCGCTACGTCCCGTGGCCACTTGCCCTCCTGCAAGTTTAAACATGCCTCAGGTCATCCACCACTTTGCCACATGATAGGGTGGATGGCTGACCAATTAAATTGAGTTTTGAGCGCTGCGCTTCCTCAAGTTTCCTCCCCTCCCAACCTCTACTGACCTATTTTTAATCTGCCGTTATTTGGCAATTGTACTTTGCGCGCTTCTTCTTGTCACTTTTTTTTTTTTGCTTAATATTTTTATTTGAAGTTTCTAGATATTTTCAATAGACATTTTGGATAAAAATGAATCCTGATCAGCCCAGTACATCCAAAGTTTTCTCCTCTTGCCCATCTCCAGAGTGGGAGATTTATGACCCCCATCTTTTGATTCTGGATCAGAATTAGATTATTCTTTTGAGGATCCAGATTTCACACTCCATGCTAACTCTGATGAAGATATTGATTCGGATTCACAGAAATATATGTTGAGGGACCAAGAGATGAAGAGGCTCCTGCAACAACAAGGTCTCCTCTGGTAAGTGATGACTGGATTGAAACTACTACATCCACGATACCCAGACCTCTGTTTACTGCCCAACCTGGACCAAGGGCCGAGTTATTTCCAGAACCCAACTCTCCTTACCAGATATTCAAAAAATTTATTGATGAGGATTTTTTGGTAATCTGAAACTTGAGACTAACCGCTATGCTAGGGCAACCATAGACAGAGAAAGAAAAAAGGATCCTTTGAATCCTAGGAGTCATTTAGAAATGTGGAAAGCTTTTCTGTGTCTGAGCTCAAGATATTTATGGCTATAATAATTCACATGAGCCTTGTTGTAAAGACCAGATTGAAAGATTATTGGTCCAACCCGCAGTGAACTTAGGACAACTTACTGCAGAGATGTGGGGATGATCAGACCACGGTTTGAAGCCATTCTCTCCATGCTTCACCTAAATGACAACGCTTCCTATGTGGCTTTTGGTCAACCAGGCCATGATCCTCTCCATAAAATTAGGACATTCCTTGATGCTCTGGTCCACAAATTCAAAACATATTACTATCCCTGCCAACCTTTGACTATTGACGAAGCTATATGTCCTTTTAGAGGAAGAATACGGTTCAGAATATATATCAAAGGAAAGCCACACAAATATGGGATCAAGATATTTGAACTTTGTGAATCAAGTTCAGGATATGCCTGCAACATAGAAGTGTACACGGGGAAGCAGCCTGGTCAAGGTGCAGACTACAAGAAAATGAGTCGACACCGACCATGGCCACACCTCCGCCTCCACCATCTGCACATATGGAGGATAATCCGACCCGGACCAGTTGGAAGATGTCGCAAGTTCTATATCGCGAATTCATGAAAGAACCCGACTTGGGGCCTACGTCCCAATCGGGAATCGACCATTTAGATCTCGTTGATGCGACATCGATGGTGAATTCCTGGCGAATCTGGAAAGGTTTTTTCCGTTTGGAAAATTCAATAATCTTTGGAAGCCTGATATTGTGACCCGCACCAAGAATTGTACCATAGCTCTCCTTATTCACAATATCGTCTTTTCCGCAATTGTTCCTTGACCCCTTTTCTTCTTTGACCTGTAATTGAAGAGTAAATAAATAGTGTTTTACGTGTTACATACATACATACATACATACATTTTACTTGGTAAATTAGGGTTAGCCAGACGGCGATCCCTATCTTAAGAAATTTTTCTGCCTTTAAGTAACTTTGTGCTACTTCCTGTGTGGCCCGACGGCAATTGTACGGCTACGCCTTTAAAATGTCAAAAGGAAAAGGGAAGAACTGGGGGAAAGCTTGGAATCAGTCTGATGATTCCAACCAAGCACAGGCCGAGTGGCCGTGGCGGTGGCAGCCGTCAGTCACAGACTGAGGACAATTAGTCAGCTCCTCCCTTCCGCCCCTTCCGAGGGGGGAAAGGAAAGTCAAAAGGCCGGGTGGACTCCGCAGCTACGGCGCCACCACCCCTGAGGGGCCAGGAGCGCATCCTAGAGATGCCCAAACCTGCGCACCCCCTCCATGACATCTACACCGCTCAGAAATGACCCTCTCTGGAAAGAGGCACTTGGTGTTGCCCAGGATTCGAACTTGTACCCTGAGCCTGACTATAACTATGTGTGTCCAGGGTTCTTCGGGTGGAACACCTTGGTGGAGGAAACCTACCTGCGCCTCACTGCATCCGGCGCCTCCTTCGCCAAAAGGATTTCCCCCGGGACATTTGCATATTACGTGGGGCTTCAAGGCCATCGCGAGGGTTCTCGAGCTCTCAGATTTGAGCCCCCGTGGTACCACAGTCCCTGGGAGAGACTTAATCCGCGCAATGAAGTATGCTGGAACCCACTTCCCGGAGCGAATATCCCTCTTCCTCTCCGGATTGGGTGACGCCGCGTCTTTAGGCGGAGTGAAATACATCTTCACAATGCCAAGCCTAGAGTATGCCGTTGCCAACAACAACACCCCTGGTTGGTATGGACGTTTGGCCAGAACACGTCACTGGCTGTACATGGCCTACCCATCATCAGGCCTAGCGGCATCCCGCATCATGGCGGAGCTTGGTAACGTCAACGGACGTTGGCCCTTGCCCGCGGACATGAACCCACTGGAGGAAGGAGCAGGCCTTCCCACCCAGAATATTGTGGGTTATGGGCAAGTGGAGCCTCTGGAACAGCGGCACGTGAGGCCTTGCTTCGCTGTGGGGTAGCCCCCAAACTGTTCCCAACTGAGAACCCCACCATAGCTCTGAACCACGGCATCCTGTCACTGGTCGACGGGGAGCTGATCTCCATACATACATACATATACATACATACGCCGACCGTGCTGCCACGCGTCGCGCGAGCTCCGCGTCTTTCGCCTTTGGCATCTGTTTTAAATGTCCTTAGACATGCCATTTTTGGTACCAGCGGGAAGCCCGGGATCTGCTGATGTAGTGCCAGAAAAGGCCCAGCAACGTATCCCAATCGGGTGAAGAAATATCACCGGAAAACCGCCTTCAGAAGAAGGCATCTGAAGAAAAATCTAAAAATCAAAATCATGCAAATTCGCCGGCAGGCGTTAAGCATGTAAATTTGGCCGCCGAGCACGACGCCAACGAATGCTGCTTCTTCCAGCGCAAATTCGGCCAATCCGGCCTGGCGGAGTTGGGGAGACACCGAGATGGCAGAGGTGGAATCCAACGACGGCTACACCCTCGTCAGAAACAAGAAGAGGCGCCTCGGCTCACCGTCATCTGAGCACGCTCCAAGGCAGCCCAACAAGCCTGGAGAGCAGCGCGGCTCCCAACAGCATAAGCGGCCAACAGGGCCGAGGAAAGTGTCGCCCCAGGAGATCAAGGCGAAACGCAAGAACATCGCCGAGGCCAAGGCGAGGCAGAACTCATCTAGACACGAAAACTACATCTTTGTGGAGCTGTGCCCAGAGATCCCGGACTACACCTACCTAAAGGCAATGTCCAAGCTGGTCGGGGGGCCAAATAACATCACACAATTCAACAGAATGAACGGCCACTACATCGTCGGCCTCGCGAGCATGGACCTTGCGAGCCGTCTGGTCGTGGACGGCCTGGAGATTGAGGGAACGTCCCTCAAGGTCTTCCCCTTCCGCAAGAGGGCAGAGCGAATAGTTGTGGCCAACCTGCCCAGCTTTGTGGAGGACTTCACCGTCGTGAACGCCCTGAGCCCATACGGGAGGGTCACCTCCATCGCCCCCATCCTGGTCAAAATGGAGGAGTTCACCTTCACCGACGGCCGCCGGGAGGCCTTCATCCTGCTCAACGACGGCATCAAACTGGACAGGCTGCCCACCCGCCTGGACGTCAAGTCCAAGGGAGACTCCGTGCCGGCCTTCCTCTCCTTTGGCATCAAGTGCTCAAAATGCGGGAAACAGGGCCACCGCAGAGCCAACTTTTTTTTTTTTTTTTTTTTTTTCAAATATTTTTCTATTAAACCTAAATTACTGATTGATATTTAATTCCTAAAACAATAAGCGAGCTCCGCCGTTTTCGCCTCTGGCGAGCGGGAAAATATCGCGAATAGCGACGAATTCGGTACGGGCTGAAAGCCCTTCAAAAGCTGCACAAAAGCCTGTAAGGCACAGCACACAAGCTCTAACTTGCGCCGAATTATCTGCGAATGAAGATCTGCAGAGGAATATTTCAAATAATCTACGCGCAAAGCAAAGCTATGCAAATCCGCCGACAGGCGTTAAAGATGCAAATCTGGCCGCCGTGCGCGGTGACGTCACGACCGGCTCGGCAGCTGCCACGTCATCTAATGGCGCTGCCGTGTCCTGGGAAACTGGGCGGACTACACCGAGGACCAAGGCCCTGGAGAGGACGACGACTTCACCGTCGTCAAGAATAAGAAAAGGCGCCGCGACTCGCCGGGTTCTCCTGCAGCGGCTGCACCTTCCTCTGGCACCAGAGGCGCAGGGGCCACTCGCCGGCCACGATCGTCCACGGGATGGGCACCGCGGGCGGAGGAGGTCAGGACCACTAGGGCGCATATCGCGGAGGCCAGGGCGCGGCAGGCGTCTTCAACCGAGGACCACTGCGTCTTCGTTGAGCGCAGCCCTGAACTGGAGCCCTACCATTACCTGAGGGCCGTTGATCGAATGTTCGGGAGCACCAGGGAGGTCTTCCAGGTGACCAAAATGAACGGCCACTTCCTGGTGGGACTGGCAAACAGAGGCATGGCCGAGCGCCTCGTCAACGAGGGCCTCGAGGTGGAGGGAACCCTCCATAGGGCCTTCCCGTTTCGCAAGAGGGCGGAGCGAATTACAGTGGGCAACCTCCCCTTCTTCGTGGGGGATGCAGCCGTCATCAGCGCCCTTTCATCTTTTGGGCGGGTCACATCTATCGCCCCCAAGCTGATGAAGGCTGGCCCATACGTCTACAACGACGGCCGCCGAGAGGCGTTCATCATCCTCCGCGAGGGAATGACCATCGAGAGGCTGCCCACCCGCCTCGACCTCTCAATCAAGGGCGAGGCCTGGCCCGCATACCTGTCCTCCGGATTAGGTGTTCCAGGTGCCGTGGCCAAGGACATCGCAGGGCCAACTGCCCCCTGCTTGCAGGGCGAGCCACCGCTCCTGGACCGGCCACACCAACCTCTCCCACCAGCGTCCCACCAGTGGCCGCTCCCGGGCTGCCTCAGCAGCCATCTGCCCATCCTCCACCTCTGGCGTCACCCAGTCAAACCATGGAGACCCCCAGCGCTTCTCCTGCGGCCCGAGCTCTGACCCCACTTGCAGCACCTCGGCCATCTACACCAGTGGCCCCAGCCGTACCTACGGAGATGGCGCCTCCTGCCCCTCCACCTGTGACCCCTGCTCTGTCCCTGCGGGCACCTGGGAGTCATGAGCCTGCAGTCCCTACACTGGACATTGAGATGACTGTCATCGAGGAGACATCAACATCCTCCACATCCTCGTCAAAAACATCAACGAGAGAAAGCCTCGTGACGTTCATAGATAGGAACCCAGGCGTCTCCTTTGCCCAGACGGACGCCCTTGGCCTCGGGCGGGAGGAGGTCTTGGACCTCCTCTCCTCAAGGACCAAGGCACATAAGCGTGGTCGCCATCTGACCCCTCCGCAGAGCAATGCTCTTGCCGGCCTAATAAACCAAATCCTCGACCTAAGGCCCGGAGGAAGTAGCAACATTTATAAGGTCCTGCGACAGGTCATTTCAGAGCTGAGAACCGGTCCAGCCACAGTGCCTCCTACATCCACACTGCCTGCGCCTCGACCATCTCATCCAACGCCGCTCACTTCCACCAAGACAAAACTGACACCTGCTATGATAACACCCCCGCCGCCCGCCCCGACGGAGATGGAGGAGGACGTTCCGATGACGGAGGAAGAGCGATGTGTACCCCCACTGCCTGCGCCTCGGCTCGCTGAGCCAACACCGCCCACTCCCCAGGGGCAAAAGACAACACCGGCTATGGCCACACCTCCGCCTCCACCATCTGTCCGTATGGAGGACAACTCGGAGCCGGACTGTTGGACGGACTTGGTGGATTTAATAGATGAACTGATCCATGGTCCCGGCTTGGAGCCCATTCTCCGTGCGTTCGACGCGGACGAGTTCGTGGACGTGGTCCGAGACCCTGAGATGTGGGAGTGCGTGGTCGCAGAGCTCTCAAGGCAGCAGAAGAAGATGGTCGCCCAATTCCTAGATGGGCTCATCGAGCGCACTCGGGACTCGGTTCCCTTGATCCGTAGGAGACTATCGGAGTTCAGGGCTGCTTTGCCATCCTATGATCCAGACCCTCCCTGAGGACACCCCTTTGAAAAAGTTTCCAAAAGGAATTATCCGTGCTCAGGCCTGGGCTCCTGACAGAGTCAGGATAATTGTAATTAATTAATTGTAAATATTTTCCCTTTGAGACTCTTTGAGTGTAACCATTGACTGAACGGTCAATAAAGTCTGTTTCATTGTCATTGTCAAGGAAGCCGGCACCTGCGCCCGCAACACATCTGATGCCCCAGATATCCGGGACCAAGGGCCCTCCAATATCATCAACATGGAGGTCCCGTTGGATCCTTTTATGCTGGATCCTTTATCGGCCAAACAGTCGAGGAGTCAGGGTTTGGGAAAGACTTCACCAAGCCAGGGTACCTCAACGACCTTAACGACTTCCTAAACCAGGCGTTGACACCCCAGAAGAAGAGTTCGGAGCTTACGGAGGCTTTCCACGACTCCCTAGCCACCATACGGCGAGGGTAAAAGGCTTGATTTTCATAAATATAAAAACTGTAAAGAATCGGAAAATACTTGAGCGAAATGTGGTAGCAAGGGCCACATTTCTAAATCATGTACTAAAACAGAAAATTGTAAAAAAGCTAATAGTAAAAATCCTACACTTAAATTGAACATACATACATACATACATACATACATACATACATACATACATACATACATACACATATACATACATACACATATACATACAATCTCTTCAGAGTAGCTGTTTGTGAGCCTGTCCTCCGGCAAATACACGACGCAGTGATGGGGACCGAGGCGTTTTCAAAATCCCAGTACCCTTTTCAGACAACCCTCTTTATATAGCTGACCAAGACATCTTCATCCAATGGGATGGCCAGGACGGGGGAGTAGAGGGCCATCTCCAACTCGATTGGATGGAGGTGTACTATGGGCAGATTCAAGCGGCATTTAGAGGGTTGCCTGTTATAGTTAGGATACTAGTTAAAGGCGACGACCTGAGAGCCATTATTGGGATTCCCCAATACATAAAGGATGATCCCAAATCTGTAGGATTTGACACTTTTGAGGAGTATACTGAATTCTTAAAGAAGAAAGTGTCGGATGCCATATCAAACTTTGGCCACGAGATAAACCCAAACGAGAGCTACTTGTCGAGCAAATTCTTTGCTTTCTCGAAGAATTATTATTACGAAGATTGTATGCTACACATATACATACATACATATACATACATACACGAGGCGAGCGGCCACGCTATTTTTAGCTTCGCCGTTTTCGCCTCTGGCGAGCATTGGAATGTCGCGGAAGACAACGAATTTTATATTGGCTGAAAGCCCACATCGAGCTGTACATCGATTTTAAGTAGCGGATGTCATATTCCCACTACTAGCTACTTAAGCTATAATCTTACTGCCTTAATGGTTTTCAGCTCTCATCCTACGTGCTCAGGTACAGACTGCCTGTCGGAGATTTTGCAATGGTTGGAATCTCACCCTGGCGGCCAACTTGACATCGCTGGATTGAAAACAC